GAGTGAGACTCCAACTCAAAAAAAAAAAAAAAAAATCCAGCCTTTCACTTGTATTACTGTGAATAGGATCTTTTTGATTTTTTCCCCCCAGTTTATTTGGAATTTTAAAAACATTCTGTAGCAATGGGTAAAAGGGTCTAGAGGCTGGTGCTCACGGTCTCAGCATGTACCTCAGAGAAGAGCTGGTGCCCTCAGCTCTCCCCGCCAACCCTGCCTTCCTCCTCCTCGTTTCATGGCCTAGTTTCCCTCACACACATCCGTTGGCCTCCCATGGCTTCTTAGTGGCTCATAAAGGTCCTATCCCCCTGGGTTGTCTTTCAGGGACCTCGTAGGAGGGTCTTGGGGCAGTCCCATTCTTACCGGGCAGTATTGATGGCCACCTGGTGTTGTCCCCAACACAGTGTGGCAGTGTTTTCCCAGCTCCATTCTCTCAGCATTTGCTCTCTGAGACACAGCATGCCTCTTGCCTAGGTAGGACACCATCAGCACAGCCTGAAGGTTGAGAGCAGAAGCTCTGGGATTTGACAGCCTGTATTCAAGTCCAGTTTCCTCTCCACAGGCCATATATGAGACCCTGGGCAAGCAGCTTACCTGCTCTGACACTCTGTATCCTCATGGGGAATATGTGGTGGGCGTAAGGGTGCTAAATGACACAGGGACTCTGCATACGGCAGCTGCTGCAGTGACCACAGCAAGGGGCCTGGGCGCTGGTTAGCCCAGGATGACCTCTGACTGTCTGTGTCCTGTCTCTTGTTTGCTCTGTGTCTGTGCCGACCTCTCACCTATATCTCCCCTGCTGGACTGAGACACTGCTTCCTGTCGCCGGATAAACTAAGGATTTGAGAGAGACAGGAGATCCCGGGGCAGGCACCACGGGCAGGGCTGTCCAGGGGCCTGCACCCTGGAATAGGGGAGCTCAGAAAGCAGCCAGTCAGAGAAGGGGGCTCTTGGTAATTTAGAGGGGCCTCAAGCCACATGCCCCTTGACCCCTTCAAGCATCATCCAGCTAACTAATCTAGGTTTTCACTCCCTTTGTTTCTTCAGGGTGGAGGAGGCCCCTCTTTGACCTGGGAAGGCTTAGGGGAGCCTGAATGGGATCACAGCACCTCTTGTCTCCCCTGCTTTCTCTGTGAAGATTTTGTTTGGGAGTCTTCTGTGAGTGGGGCCGAACAGTGCAGAGCCTTGTTCTCTCTTCCCTGGCCCTGGGTCTCCTCCTAAGCAGCCCTGTTCCTGTACTCAGCACACTCTGGCCACACCAGCTCCTGTCCTGTCTTGGTTTATCTTCCCTGGCTGGCCTGGGCTGCTCTGGCTGCCCACTGAGGAGGCGTCTGTTGAATAAAAAGGTGCAGGTGAGGAGCAGGGCAGGCTGGGCTGGGGCGAGGCCAGAGCTCTAGGCAGGGAGCAGAGGGGCATCCCAGGGCTCCGCACTTCCTGAAACTCATCTGTTTGTCTCACAGTGGCCCAGGTGGGAGTAGAGGGAGAGGAACAGCCTGGGTGTGACTGTGTTTGGGATCTGCTGGTTCAGTGATGATTTGTGTGGGCTCTTTGCTGACAACAAAGCTTCTGGGCTCACCAGAGGTTTCGTTCACCCCATGAGCAAGGGAGAATCTGGAATTGCTCCATAAGCAGACAAGAGAAGCCACTCAGTGCCCCTCAGCCCCCAGGCTCATCTGTTGCCAGACATCACTGCCTAGAGGCAGGGAGATGGAGGGCCAGGTAGCTCCACTGGCAGGGATCTATTTAAGGAGAGAAGGCTGGCGGCTGAAAGTGCGAGGTCCCAGGTCCCATGTGTAGTGGCTCAAGGGAGAACAATGAGAAGGACAGATACGCTTGCCTCTACCCTGAACTCTCTTCTGGGGCAGCCCCCTGTCTAGTTATGGGATGACCAGATCTCTAAATAATTTAAGAAATACCTACCCCTATTCCCATTTCTAGCAAATCAGGGAGATTGCCTTGGGCACAGTGCCTTGGAATTTTAACTTCTGTCTCTTGATGAGAAAAGACATGGATTTAGGGATCCAACTACAGGGCCTCTCCGGGGTAATGGAGGGAGGTACCCTGGTGCCCCAACTCATAGGCAGTGAGTGCTGCCTCACCCACTCCGCTTCTCATGCCCTTACACTCCCTGCTTGAGGCAGCAGAGCCTATGGCACGCCAAGCCCAGAGTTATCCCATGTGCAGTAAGTGGCCCCTGTCAGATCTCACAGGCCAGCCATCCTGGGCCCTGGCATGCCTTCCCTACCTGTCCACTCTGTCACATCTGTGCTGGTCTACTCACACCTGCATGTTGACCTGGAAATGCCATTGCTCTGTGGAGACCCTGTTCCCCCAACCTGAGATCCAGTTCCTGTTGCTGCTGGCAGAGCTGACATCTGAAACTAGCACCAACCTGTGAAGCAGATCTGCCTTTCTAGAGGCTGCCCCACTGTAGACGCGAGTGGCTAAGGCCTGCCGGCTGAGGCAGTGTGTGTGACAGTTCTGAGCTGGACCCTGAAGGACTCAGAGGACTTGATTTGCCATGTGTTTTGGCTGCCAGAATAGTGGGACATCTTTTGAAAAACTGAGAGAAAGTGGTAGGGGCAGAAATCTGGCTTGTTAGGTTTTATTTCTGTGGCTTCAGGTGGCTAACCTTGTGGCTGTAGTCTCCTTAAATCCCTTTATATTCAACTTGATTCTATATGTTCTGTTTCCAGTCCCCTCTTGATCCTGTTGACCATTGTGATCTGGTTCCATTGTTTTTATTAATTCAGTGTACATCTGCTGTGGTTGGGACTTGAGTGAGACACTAGAGACGCAGAGGTGACTAAAGCACAGTCCCTGTCCTTCAGGACTCCCAGCCCAGCCTGAGACTAGACACGTCTTCATACTACCACACATACAGTTATAGGATTGTGCTCTTGGTTACTGTGTCTGGCTCTGCTGCCAACAGCTGTCTCATCATCCCTATTCTGAGCCTCCAGTGACAGTAATAATAAGAAGAATAATAACAATTTTAGCTATTATTTATTGAACACTTTCTATGACTGTAAGCTTCTGGATTTTCTCATTTATCTTTCCTTACACTCTAGGATGTAGGTAATGTTATTATGTTATACTCATTTTACAGATAAGGAAACTGAGATAGAGGGAGATTATAAAGTAGAAAGTGGAGGAACCAGAACTAGAACCCAGAGTCCAGGTCCCAGCACCACACTCTCAATCAACCTGCCCCCCGCAGATCTCATTGGCCAGAGGTTGGCATGTGGCATGATTCACCCCACGTACATCCTTTTCAGTGACCTTGGGGCAGCCCTGGGAAGCCTGGGCAAGCCTTTGCAAACCTCAGCTTTACAGCCCTGGCGCCAGAGGGCTGCAATTGGGAGGTAGGCAGTTATCTGAAGAAAAGTATCGCCTTGACTTTCCCTGTGTGACCTCACATCTAATCAAAGTCTGTTCCTGTTTCTGCAGGATTAGTCAGCATCTCTTAACTAGCAGTCCTGGTCAGGAGAGCTCCTCAGCCATGCTCCCAGCCCATCCTCCACCCTCCCGCCCTTAGCTGCCACAGCACTTTTCCCTCCCTTTTTGCGTTATTTTGGTGCTGGGTGGACTTTGGAGGGGGCCATTAAGGGCTGGGATTACAATGCAGGTGTGGCTGACACACAAGGCTCAGAGGCTCAGCACCCAGCTGGGTCTGGGGACGGAGGCAGCAACATAATAACTCCAGTGAGAAAAATAAGAAAAGTGCACCTCAGTGAACTAAAGCAGATCACTTTGGATGATTTAAAAAAATGCAACCCTTTCCAAAGAGGTTCTAAGAGCATATGTAGCAGTTGACACAATGAAAATATCAGGGAGAAGGTGGCATATGATTCTGTGTTTGAGAAGCCAAATGTACCTACCAGTAAGGGAGGCAAGGAGGTCCATTCGGTCTCCCCAGACTGACCGAGGAGAACCAAGGTGTTGTGGAAAGACCAGCAGCTTATCCGTCCCAAGTGGTCTAGGATCTGCCTCCCTGATGGCTGTAGTCTGTTCCCATGGACAGAGCTGCCCGGGAGGTTCTAGCCAGACTGGGGCCCTGCAGCCAAGGCTGGGTCCTAAGGTCTACTGTTCTAGGGTGTCAGATTCTCTAGTATAGGCATCCCAACCTGGGACTCACTGGTGCTTCAAGGGACACATGAGGGTCCTAAAATTGTGGACAAGACTTTGTGTGCATTTTCTGGGAACCCGGAGAAAAGCTTTTGTTATTGGATTCTTCAAAGGGTCCATGACCCCCACAAAAGTTAAGAACCTCTACATTTTCACTCCAGGGGGCTTGAGCCAATTGAACATCCAAGCGTGCTGTGGGGTAGCCTGAGTCCTTGACGGGTTCAGAAGTAGCCCTGGCACTCCTAGTGGGATGACTCTGCATGTGCATCTGCCTCTCTGATCTTTGGGAGTCCCTACGATCACCCTGAGGTCAGGTTTCCCTCCCTCTACACACAGAGAATGTCACCAACGGCACAGTGGGGGGTACAGCAGAGCCGGAGCACGAGGAGGTGAGCTGGATGAATGGCTGGCTCAGCTGCCAGGCCCAGGACGAGATGCTAAATTTGGCCTTCACCGTGGGCTCCTTCCTGCTCAGTGCCATCACCCTACCCCTGGGCATCGTCATGGACAAGTACGGTCCTAGGAAGCTCAGACTGCTGGGCAGGTCAGTGTGGGTTCCTTGGGGGGCAGGGAGTGGGCAGGTGGACCTCCCTGGCTGAGTTCCCTGCTATAGGGAATCCTGGTACCTGCTATCAGGTACACTGTAGTTCTCTAAACGCCTGTCCAGAGTGAGGTTTCTGGCTCATCTGCAACTGAATCAGTAGGTACCATGATCCTCACAATGCGCCAATACTGCGTAAAAAAGCACAGGGTCCCAGGCTGAGCTGGGAGGATCTGGAGTTGCTTGTCATTAAGAACGGTGGGTCCCAGTCTTTTTGTAGTTCACAAACGTGATGATTGGGGTTCCACACTCATGTGTGAGATGTGCCTCTCTCAAACCTTGTTATGACTTGGCACATTTACACATCTAATGTGGGGGGAAAAAAGAAGGAAAAAAAAAAACCTAGCCCAGTGGCTCATGCATGTAATCCCAGCACTTTGGGAGGAAGAGGCAGGAGGATTGCCTGACTCCAGGGATTTAAGACCACCCTGGGCAACTTGGCAAGACCTCATCTCTACGATAAATCAAAAAATTAGCCAGGCTTGGTGGCACATGCCTGTGGTTCCAGCTACTTGGAAGGCTGAGGTGGAAGGAGCTCCTAAGCCCTGCAGGTCAAGGCTGTGGTGGCAGTAGCATGCCATTGCACTCCACCCTGGCTGACAGAGTGAGACTCTGACTCAAAAAAATTTTAATTTAATTTAATTTTTTAAAAAACTGGTTTTCAAAGTCTGACCTTACACATTCACCAGAAAAAAAGATCTTCAGCATATACCTCACATGGAATTATAAATGATATACATATGCTGGGGGGGTTGGCCCCAAAAAAGATATACACATATGCCTTTTTTTTTTTTTTTTTTTTTGAGTCAAGGTCTTATTCTGTCACCCAGGCTGGAATGCAGTGGAACGATCATGGCTCACTGCAATCCTTCTGCCTCAGCCTCTTGAGTAACTGGGATTACAGACATGAACCACCATGCCTAGCTAATTTTTTTATTTCTTTTGTAGAGATGAGTTCTTGCTATGCTGCCCAGGCTGGTCTTAAACTCCTGGGCTCAAGTAATCCTTCTGCAAAGTGTTGGGATTACAGGCATGAACCACTGAACCTGGCTGCATATGCCATTCTTTTTTTTTTTTTTTAGTTGGAGTCTCACTCTGTCACCCAGACTGGAGTGCAGTGGCATACTCATGGCCACCACAGCCTTGACCTGCTGAGCTCAGGAGATCCTTCCACCTCAGCCTTCCAAGTAACTGGAACTATAGGCATGCACTACCATGGTCGGCTAATTTTTTTGATTTATTGTAGAGATGAGGTCTCCCCATGTTGCCCAGGCTGGTCTCGAACCCCTGGACTCAGGCAATCCTCTTGCCTTAGCCTCCCAAAGTACTGGAATTGCAGGCTTGAGCCACCACACCTGGCTGCATATGCCATTCTTAATGTTCCATGTCCTTTATTAACTTTATGATATATATACAAAAATATCAATGAAAATGGATGAAATTAAAAATTATAACATGGAAGTCCTAATATATTGGCACCCTTGTGAATCATTTCATGTACCCCCTGGGTGTATTGTCCCTGGCCTGTAAAGCTCCAGTGTGGCTGACTCAGGGCCAGTTCCCCAAGCAGCTGACCCTCCCAGGTCAGGGTCGAGCCCAGTTCCCAGTGGTAATAATCACCTTGCAGGGCAGTGATTTGCCGTGAGTGAGACTGTGACTCTGAAGTGGATGGGTGAGAATCAGTTCCATTTGCTTTTCTTCAGAGCTGAAGAGTCCTTGGTTCCTAGGGCAGGGCCTAGGATTTGAGAATAGCCACTCATCTCACCCGTGCTCAGTGGGGTTCTATCCATCCCATAAGCAGGCACGAAGCTGAGGAATGTGTGGTGTGCCCTCTGTCACTTCAGAGCCCTTGCCCTCTCAGTCTGGGGCTGGGAGGGGGCATTACAGTATGGTGTTTACAAGGTCTGGCTTTGGAGCTTGAATTCCAGCTTAACCACTTACTAGGTAAGAGACCTTGGAGAAGTTAGCTTTAGTTTTAGATTTTGTATGAAATTTACTTTTCTACCAGTAAACTGGGGTCAATTATTCTCCTTAGAATTATTTTTGAGTTGGAGTCTCACTCTGTTGCCCAGGCTGGAGTGCCTCGAGCTGCTGGGGTCAGGCGATCCTTTCACCTCAGTCTTCCAGGTGGCTGGAACTAAAGGCATGAGCCACCATGCCCGGCTAATTTTTTGATTTATTGTAGAAATGAGGTCTTGCCAAGTTGCCCAGGCTGATCTTGAACCCTTGGGCTCAGGCAATTCTCTTGCCTTGGCCTCCCAAAGTGCTGGAATTATAGGCATGAGCCACCGTGCCCAACCAGAATTATTAAATTAAATTAAATAATGCATGTAAATGTTCTGGAAGCTTCTGACCCATAGTAGATTCCCCCAAATGATGATAATGTTAACAATAAGTCAAAATGTAATAATAAATAATGTACTATTTCTGCTTGATTTTAGTGCCTGCTTTGCTGTCTCTTGCTTGCTGATTGCATATGGAGCGAGTAACCCAGACTGTGAGTATGCCTTTCACCCATTTGTTGGGGACTGGGGAGCGATTGCCCAGAAGCCCTCCCAGGCCCACCTGCTCTTAGATGCTGGTCTGGGTCTACTGTTCACTGCTCAAGTTAGAGAAGATACCTGTTGGGCCTTTACTCAGTTACTTATATCAGACAGCCGAATCAGAGAGCAGAAAGCAACCTTCCCAGACAGAAGTCTGAGAGGAGCTCCCAGGTTGTGCAAAAGTTCCATCTTAACCCTACATCAAGCCAGTCTGATGGCCTCATCGATGCTAACATGAGAGAAAAGGTCAAGAACCAGGCCAGCTAAAGGGGCGTGCGTGGTCCTCGGAGCATGCAGGAGTCGTGATCTGGATCCTCTTGAGTCAGCACAAGCCAACACTTGAAGGATGGCTTAGAAGCCATTTGGTCCACAGCCCTATTCAGGTGGAACTGTTGTTTCAAGGACTTTTAGAACAAACACCAAAATGGGATGTGAGATTCACCAAAATCTTAGCCAGGCTCATCTGCTCATATACTGATTTTTGGGAAGCTATAATTTTGGTTGCAGAGAAGCAGCTGCTTTTTTTTTTTTTTTTTTTGAGTCAGAGTCTTACTCTGTCGCCCAGGCTGGAGTGCAGTGGGATGCTGAAAGCCACTGCAGCCTCAACCTGCTGAGCTCGGGTGATCCTTCCACCTCAGCCTTCCAAGTAGCTGGAACCACAGGTGTACACTACCACACCTGGCTAATTTTTTGATTTATTGTAGAGATGAGGTTTCACCAAGTTTCCCAGGCTGGTCTTGAATCCCTGAGCTCAGGCAGTCCTCTTACCCCTCTGCCTTTCAAAGTGCTCGGATTACAGGCATGAGCCATCTTGCCTGGCTGCAAAGCAGTTTCTTTAGATCCCTTGCCTGCTGCTAAGTTAATGGAGAAATGAGAACAGGTATGCACCACTTGTAGGACCCCAAGCTCTGTGAAGCAGCAAGAGGAGAAGGGTGAAGAAGAGACTGGTTTAGTTTCTCAGGAGCCAGGCATTCATCCCTGATGACTTGTCATTCATTCATTCAGCCTGTATTTACATGCAGGACAGGTCCCAGCCTCCCTGAAGGTCAACTATGGTTCCCACCTTAAGAGCTTTCCATTTCCCTACAGCCCTCTCGGTGCTCATCTTCATCTCCCTGGCTCTGAATGGCTTTGGTGGGATGTGCATGACCTTCACTTCATTAACTGTAAGTGTTGATTTTTATTTATTTATTTATTTATTTATTTATTTTTCGAGTTGGAGTCTCACTCTGTCCCCCAGACTGGAGTGCAGTGGCCGCTCTCGACCCACTGGGCTCCGGCAATCCTTTCGCCTCAGCCTCCCAAGTAGCCGGAATTACAGGCGCGCGCTACCACGCCCAGCTGATTGATTTTTTTTTTTTGTTAAGAAGATCTGTAGTTCAGTTGTCTACTTGTGAACTTGAGGCAGCAGAAGCTTGTTTCCATTTCCTTGCCTTCTTTCTATTTGACTGCATATGCCTGGATGCTCCAAACAGCAGAAAGGCTGTTGGTGAAGTGGCCTGGCCTTCCAGGCTCAGAGGTCCTGCAAGAAGCAGGTCACAGCTCTTAGAGTGACCCATAGCCCACTTTCTGACTGGACTTTGGCACTAATGAAGCAGCTCACTAGCCTTGTGGACAAGAAAGTCAGGAGTAGGAAGACAAAAGCTGCCACCCACTCTTTTCTTGATTTCTATGGCAGCCATCACCAGGATCTCCAGAAGCTTTGGCTAACAGTGCAGCCTAAAAACAAATCTCCTTTGGAATTGCCCCAACCCCAACCTCTGCCTTTGTTCAGAACCAAATAGAAAGCTCAGGGGAGCACCTGTGCTTCTTCTTGTCTTGGTTTCCTAAATGCCAGGGCATGGGCAGCCCTTCTGGGGAGGGAGATGTTTCCTCAGGACACTGAGAACCCTTTTGTGGGAAGTGCTAGGATGTCACAAAATGTGCTTATTTTTAAGGTGAGGGAGGCTGAAGAATGGTGCAAATTGAAAGAAAGAAAGAAAGAAGGAAAATGAAAGTCAAAGAAGGAACTGAAAAGTCTTCCCCAGAGGGAGAAATGACTCTCTCTGCAGGTTGGCCTGGTCAGGCAAAGGTGCCATTGAGAGCTGGCCATTGGGAAGATAGTAAGAATAGCTTCTTCAGAGAGACCTCTGTCCTGTTTTTTGTGTTGTTTTTTTTTTTTACTTGCACACACATGTTTATTGCAGCATTATTCACAATAGCAAAAACATGGAACCAACCGTGCTGTCCACTGAAAGAGGACTTGATAAAAAAAAACATGGTACTTATACACAATGGAATGTTACATAGCCATAAAGGACAAAATTATGAACTTTGCAGTACCTTGGATGAATTTAGAATCTATAATACTGAGTGATCTATCACAGAAACAAAGAACTATCCATGGTTTTTGTTTTTTTTTTTTTTTGAGTTGGAGTCTCACTCGGTCACCCAGACTGGAGTGCAGAGGCCGCTCCCGGCCACTGCAGCCTCGAACTGCTGGGCTCCGGTGATCCTTCCGCCTCAGCCTTCTGAGTAGCCGGAACTACAGGCATGTGCTACCACGCCCAGCTGATTTTTTGATTTATTGTAGAGATGAGGTCTTGCCTGAACCCGTGAGATCAGGCAATCCACTCACCTCAGCCTCCCAAAGGTGCGGGATTACAGGCTGAGCCACCAAGCCCGGCTTATCCACGGTTTTTAACACACAATACCTACCATAACTATTTGCAGGGCCCCGTGGTTTCTAATTTTCCTCATGCTAATGAGTCAGGAGTCATGGTGTTGAGGGGCCTTTGTTTAGCTTTGACGGAGCTCTGAGGACTTCTGGTCCTCTTTTTTTTCGAGTTGGAGTCTTACTCTGTCGCACCGACTGGAGTGCAGTGGCACGCTCCCGGCCACTACAGCCTCGACTTACTGGGCTCTGGCGATCCTTCCACCTCAGCCTTCCAAGTAGCTGGAACTACAGGCGCGCGTTACCACGCCCAGCTAATTTTTGATTTATTGTAGAGATGAGGTCTCGCCAAGTTGCCCAGGTGGGTCTCGAACCTGCAGGCTCAGGCAATCCGCTCACCTTGGCCTCCCAAAGCTCTGGGATTATAGGCTGAGCCTCCGAGCCCGGCTTCTGGTCCTCTTTTAAGGAACTTGAAGAGGTGCTGGCATCTCCATGACCCTAAAACGGGCAGTGAGCTAGAGGCCAGGCCCACTGTCTTTTCTGTTCACCCTTCCTACACTTTGCTTTGTTAGCTTTGTCCTGGCAGGAAGGATTAACTGTCTGGGTCTAGATCCATGGAAATGGAAAGTTCTGTGAATCTGTGTTAGGTGAGAAAAACATGGCTCAGGGTGTATGTTTGGTATGCTCACGGGGTGGGTGTCCACAGGATGTGAATGACACATATAAATCTGGAAACTCTGTTCGCTTTGCCTCTGCTAGTGCCAGGGAGATTTACTTTGTACTCTTTTGGGCATTTTTTTTTTTTTTGAGGTGAAATCTCACTCTGTCACCCAGGCTAGAGTACAGTGGCACACTCATGGCCACGTCAGCGTTGACCTGCTGGACTCCAGCGATCCTTCTGCCTAAGTCTTCCAAGTAGCCAGAACTATAGATGCGTGCTACCATGCCTGGCTAAATTTTTAAAAATTTATTGTAGAGATGAGGTATCGCCAAGTTGCCCGGGCTGGTCTTGAACTCGCGGGTTCAAGCAATTCACTCGCCTCTGCCTTCCAAAGTGCTGGGATTACCAGCTGAACCACTGAGCTCAAGTGATCTGAAGATTACAGGTGTGAACCACTACACTTGGCCCTTCTGGGCATTTTGATTTTTCTTTAACCAAATAAATTTAAAAGAAAAATGGATACATTCTTCCTCTTTCAAATTCCCCTAGGAAAACAAATTTCAAAACTATGAAAAATATATTTGTACGGTCAAAAGGACACAGATTCCACATAGTTGTGTAAATTGTGAAATAGGAGTCATGATTCTGTTTGTTCTTTGACAGTGTGAAAGCCACCAACTCTTTCATCAAGATGAAAAATAAAAACCTGGCATCACCCCCATTATTTTAGTCATGCTATGCCTCTGTCACGGCAGGTCTAAACTTCAGGGATAAAAGAACAAGATGGTCCTTGAACTTGAAGAGTTTACACTCCAAAATGCAGAAAGATGTTTTGTCTTAAAAAGCATAAGATAAATGGATAAAAACCACTGTACCATGAATCCCTTTTAAGAAAGCTTTTAAAATGTACTCTGAAGTTGTGCCCAAGAAACTTTTAGGAGAGACTAATAGGCCCATAAGGATTCTTTCTCTTTTCTTATTTTTTATAGTTATAAAGCAAAAATGTTTTTATTTTTAAAATTAAACATTCAGAAATATAAATTGTAAACCAAAACTCTGTAAGCCTGCCTTCATCAGTTTGGAATATATTTCTTCAGCATTTAAAAAAAATTGCATAGGCTGGACTTGGTGGCTCAGCCTGCAATCCCAGCACTTTGGGAGACTGAGATGAATGGATTGCCTAAGCCCGCGGAGTTTGAGACCAGCCTGGGCAACTTGGCGAGACCTCTTTTCTACAATAAATTTAAAAAATTAGCCGTGCGCAGTAGTGTGTGCCTGTTGTTCTGGCTTCTTGGAAGGCTAAGGTGGAAGAATCACTGGAGCCCAGCAGGTTGACGCTGGGGTGGCCGTGAGTGTGCCATTGTACTCCAGCCTGGGCGATAGAGTGAGACTCCAACTAAAAAAAAAAATTGCATATACCAATGTTATTCTTTAAAAAAAAAAAAAGACTTATAACGTGCCTTTTTCACTTAATGAAGCTTTTGTATCTTTTCCTGTCAGTGCTTAAAGATCTGCCTTATTATCTTAAACTCTAGAGATCTACCTCATTATTAAACAGTTCCATATTATTCTTTAATATAGATGTACCATAATTTATTCAACCAGTTTCCTGCTAATGGACATTTGGGTTGGTTTCCAACTTTTCCAATTTATGAATGCTGCTGAACTGAACATTCCTATACATGTATTTCTGTAAAATAATTCCTGGAAGTGGAACTGCTGGGCCACAGGATCAGCATGTTTTAAAATTTAATATCTACTGTTAAATGGTCTTCTAAAAAGGTTGCCTGCTGGAACAAGCCTCCCAGCATGTATGAGAGTGCCTTTTTCTCCATGCTGCCTCCAGTACCATGTCCTTTATCTTTTAAACACTTGCCAACCTGATCTAGTGAAAAATGATATACCATGATTTTAAAAATTTATTTAATTAGTAGTGAGACAGAGCATCCTTTCTCCTCTTTTTTTTTTTTTGAGTTGGAGTCTCACTCTGTCGCCCAGACTGGAGTGCAATGGCCGCTCCCGGCCACTGCAGCCTCAACCTGCTGGGCTCCGGCGATCCTTCCACCTCAGCTTTCCAAGTAGCTGGAACTACAGGTGCGCACTACCACACCCAGCTAATTTTTGATTTGTTGTAGAGATGAGGTCTCATCAAGTTGCCCAGGCAGGTCTTGAACCCTCAGGCTCAGGCAATCCACTCATCTCGGCCTCCCAAAGTGCTGGGATTACAGGCTGAGCCACCGAGCCCGGCCTCTTTCTCCTCTTTATTGATAATTTGTATTGCTTCACAAAATTACTTCTTTGTGTTATTTGTCCATTTTTCCACAGCATTCTTTATTATTATTATTATTTAGTGATTTATAAGAACACTTTCAAATACAAAGAAACTAGCTCTCTTTCTGAGAGAGGAAGGGATCTTACCCTAGGGTGTTTATGTCTTTACATAGTCCGTGAATAGGCTTCAGGAGAGCTGTGCACACCCTCGGAATGATATGTAAACGAATTGTGTGTATGTGCTGCTCAAGTGTGTCTTTCTTGGGGAGAGTCCATTGCTTTCATCACCCTCCAGTAGGTCTGAGTGAAGGCTAAAAACCACCGCGGCAGGAACATTTCTGTTTGTTCCTTGCTGTCCCACTGAGAGGCAAAATGCTACACAGGCTGGGTAGTGATCAGGCAATAGATTGCCTGATCACTATTAAAGCAATTGGTTACCAGGGATCTGTGTAAGAAAGGCTGGTGGCGTGTCCTTCAAAATCCTCATTCTTGGATCTAGAGTGGGGGTCCACAAACCATTGTCCCCCAGGCCAAATCCAGACTGTTTTTGTAAAGAAAGCTTTATTGGAACACAACTGTGC